AAAAGGTCCTCAGTGTCCCCAAAGGGTCTCCAGTGTCCCCTAAGGGACATGAGGACACCTGGAGGGACATGGGGACACCGGGGGTGGTGTCCCCAAAAGGTCCTCTGTGTCCCCAAGGGACATGGGGACACCAGGAGGGACATGGGGACACCGGGGGTGGTGTCCCCAAAAGGTCCTCAGTGTCCTCAAGGGACATGGGGACACCAGGAGGGACATGGGGTGCCGCGGCGCCAGGAGGTGACACCGCAGCAGCCCAGGGTCCCCCTGAGGTGACGGATGAAGGTCCCCAGGGCCACCTTGGGGTCCCACCCGGCAGCACGCCCCTGCGCGGCGCGGTCGCGATGGCCACCAGCCTGCCCAGGGTGGCCACCACGGCCACCAGCCGCTCCAGCAGCTGGGGAGGGGACAGGGGACGTGTCAGGGACATGGTGGCGCTTGTGGCCTCCTGGGGTGTCCCCTGTGCCCTCCCGGGATCCCCTTTGTCCCCTCCCCGCAGGGCTCTGCTGTCCCTCTGTCCCTTCGTCACCCCCTGACCCCTCTGCCACCCCCTGCCACCTCCTGTTGTCCCCCTCCCTTCACCTCTCTGTCACCTCCCCGCTTCCTCCTATGCCCTCCTGTCCCCTTTGCGACCCCCTGCCCCTCCCGCCACCCCTGTGTCCCCTCTGTCCCCCACTGCCTCCGTTCACCCCCCCCGTCCCCACTGCCACCCCCCGTATCCCCTCTGTCCCCTCCCTGTCCCCACTGCCACCTCCCTATCCCTGTCCCCACTGTCACCTCCCTGTCCCCACTGCCACCTCCCTGTCCCCACTGCCACCCCCCTGCCCCCACTGCCACCCCCCTGTCCCCTCTGTCCCCTCCCTGTCCCCACTGCCACCCTCGTGTCCCCACTGCCACCTCCCTGTCCCCCCTGCCACCCCCCTGTCCCCACTGCCACCTCCCTGTCCGTCTGTCCCCTCCCTATCCCCACTGCCACCCCCCTGTCCCCACTGCCACCCCCCTCTCCCCACTGCCACTCCCCGTGTCCCCACTGCCACCCTCGTGTCCCCTCTGTCCCCTCCCTGTCCCCACTGCCACCTCCCTGTCCCTCTGTCCCCTCCCTGTCCGTCTGTCCCCTCCCTGTCCCCACTGCCACCCCCGTGTCCCCACTGCCACCTCCCGTGTCCCCTCCGTCCCCTCCCACCCCAGGATTGTCGCACCTCGCGGGGCTCCATGGCCGCTGGGGACACTTCAGGGACACTCCGGGACACTCTGGGGACGCTTTGGGGACACTCTGGGACACTTTGGGGACGCTTTGGGGACACTCTGGGGACACTCTGGGGACGCTTTGGGGACACTCTGGGACACTTTGGGGACGCTTTGGGGACACTCCGGGACACTCTGGGGACGCTTTGGGGACACTCCGGGACGCGAGCTCGCCCCGCTCGCGGTTCGGGACGCGACGCGGACGGAGAGCGGAATTCGGAAGGGGTGACGTCACCGCCCCCGCCCCACGCCTACTCCTCTGGCTGCTTTTGGGGGGTCCTGAGGAGATTTTGGGGGCCTCAGGTGAGAATTCCCAAAGATTTGGGGTGTCCCAGGTGAGGTATGGGGGGTCCCAGGTGAGGTTTTGGGGGTCCCAGGTGAGGTTTTCGGGTGTCTTGAGGGGATTTTGGGTGTCCCAGGTGAGAATTCCCAAAGATTCGGGGTGTCCCAGGTGTCCCAGGTGAGGTTTTGGGGGGTCCTAGGTGAGATTTTGGGGGGTCCTGAGGAGATTTTGGGAGCCTCAGGTGAGAATTCCCAAAGATTTGGGGTTTCCCAGGTGTCCCAGGTGAGGTTTTGGGGGGTCCTAGGTGAGATTTTGGGGGGTCCTGAGGAGATTTTGGGAGCCTCAGGTGAGAATTCCCAAAGATTTGGGGTTTCCCAGGTGTCCCAGGTGAGGTTTTGGGGGGTCCTGGATGAGATTTTGGGGTGTCCCAGGTGAGAATTCCCAAAGATTTGAGGTGTCCCAAGCTAGGTTGGGGTGTCTCAGGTGAGGTTTTGGGGGGTCCTGGGGAGATTTTGGGGGTCTGAGGTGAGAATTCCCAAAGATTTGGGGTGTCCCAGGTGAGGTTTTGGGGGTCCTGAGGAGATTTTGGGTGTCCCAGGTGAGAATTCCCAAAGATTCGGGGTTTCCCAGGTGTCCCAGGTGAGGTTTTGGGGGGTCCTGAGGAGATTTTGGGGTCCCAGGTGAGGTTTTGGGGGTCAGGAGGGGGCAGGATGAACCCCCAGGTGTTGACCACGCCCTTTAAGCCCCGCCCTGCATTTCTAGCCCCGCCCATTGCTGCTGGGCACGCCCACAGGGTGCCCCACCCCTTCAGACCCCGCCCCTCCCAAGCCCCAGTTCTGCATTCTGACCCCGCCCCCTCCAAAAGCCCCACCCCCAAAGGAGCCTTGGCCACGCCCCCAGTTGGATTTTTATCAATGGAAACCAAAAATCGCCACAAATCGACCCAAAAATAGAAACCCGGGGGGGGGAGGAGCGGGGGGCATGGCCACACCTGTGACGTCACGAGGGAGGGGCCAGGTGGGATTTTGGGTGGCCCTAGGTGGATTTGGGGGGTCCAGGTGGGATTTGGGGGGTCCCAGGTGGTTTTTAGGTGGGTCCAGGTGGTTTTTGGGGGTGCCAGGTGGTTTTTGGGTGGTCCTGGGTGGGATTTTGGGTGGTCCCAGGTGGATTTTGGGGGTCCCAGGTGGATTTTGGGGGTTCCAGGTGGGATTTTGGGGGTCCCAGGTGGTTTTTGGGTGGGTCCTGGTGGTTTCTGGGCAGTCCCAGGTGGTTTCTGGCAGCCTCAGGTGGGTTTTGGGTGGTCCCAGGTGGGATTTTGGGGGCATCGAGGTGTTCCTGGGCGTGTCCAGGTGGGTTTTTGGAGATTCCAGGTGGGCTTTGGGGTGATCCAGGTGTCCTTGAGGGAGATTCAGGTGTCCCGGAGCCATTCCCAGGTGTTTTTTGTGTTGTCCCAGGTGTTTTTTGGGTTGTCCCAGGTGGTTTTGGGTTGTCCCAGGTGTTTTTGGGGGTGTCCCAGGTGTTCCTGAGGGCTCCAGGTGTGCTCAGGAGGCATCCAGGTGTTTCTGGGAGGGTTTCAGGTGTCCCAGGGGCAGTTCCAGGTGATTTTTGGGTGGATCCAGGTGGGCTTTGGGGTGATCCAGGTGTCCTCGAGGGAGATTCAGGTGTCCTGGAGCCATTCCCAGGTGTTTTTTGGTTTGTCCCAGGTGTTTTTTGGGGGTCTCCAGGTGTTCCTGAGGGCTCCAGGTGTGCTCAGGAGGAACCCAGGTGTTCCTGGGAGGGTTTCAGGTGTCCTGGGGGCAGTTCCAGGTGATTTTTGGGTGGATCCAGGTGGGTTTTGGGCGGGCCAAGGTGTCCCAGGGGTGATCCAGGTGTTCCTGAGGCATCTCCAGGTGTTTGCTAGGTGGGTCCAGGTATTTTTGGAGGGATCCAGGTGGGTTTTGGGGGGATCCAGGTGGGTTTTGGAGGGATCCAGGTGTCCTCGAGCGGCATTCAGGTGTCCCAGGGGTGATCCAGGTGTCCCAGAGGCATCTCCAGGTGGGTTTTGGAGTGTCCCAGGTGTTTTTGGGAGGTATCCAGGTGCTTTTTGGGGTGATTCAGGTGTTTTTTGGGGGGATCCAGGTGTTTTTTGGGGGGATCCAGGTGTTTTTGGGGGATATCCAGGTGGGTCTGGAGGGATCCAGGTGTGTTGGGCAGGTGCAGGTGCCCAGGTGTGCTGGGAACTGGTGATCCAGCTGTGCAGGAACCCGAACATCTGGGCGGGCTGGAACTCAGGTGTGAGGGATCCAGGTGTGAGGGGGATCCAGGTGACACGGGATGGGTGGGACCCGGTTTTCCAGGTGTGATGTCACCTGGTTATGACATCACCCACCCACCCAGGTGTGACATCACCTGCACACATCCCCCCCCTCCTGCCCAGGTGTGGCATAATCCCCGCCAGGTGTGACGTCATCCAGGTGTGTGACCTCCAGGCTCACCTGGGCGTGACGTCACCATTGTACCCAGCTGTCCCCGCCCCCCTCACCTGTCCATGCCTCCAGGTGTGACATCACCAACCCCACCAGGTGTGACGTGACCAGTCCAGGTGTGCCAGCTGTCACTCAGGTGTCACTTAGGTGTCATTCAGCTGTCACTCAGGTGTCACTCAGGTGTCATTCAGGTGCCACTCAGGTGTGCCGGGTGTCACTCAGGTGTGCCAGGTGTAACAGTACCTGTGTCGAGGTGTGCACAGATGTCACAGGTGTGACAGTATCTGTACCCAGGTGTCACTCAGGTGTGCCAGGTGTCACAGGTGTGTCACTCAGGTGTGCCGGGTGTCCCCGCACAGGTGCCGCGGTGCCTGACAAAGCTGTCCCTCCACATGAAGGCCCGGTGGCAGGTGTGGCAGGTGTGACAGTACCTGTGCCCAGGTGTTACTCAGGTGTAGCCAGGTGTTACAGGTGACACTCAGGTGTCCCAGGTGCCACTCAGGTGTCACTCAGGCGTTACAGGTGTGACAGTACCTGTATCCAGGTGTGCACAGGTGTCACTCAGGTGTGGCAGTCCCCGCACAGGTGCCGCGGTGTCTCACGAAGCTGTCCCTCCACATGCAGGACCTGTGCCAGGTGTGCCAGGTGTGACAGTACCTGTACCCAGGTGTGTCACTCAGGTGTGCCGGGTGTCCCCGCACAGGTGCCGCGGTGCCGCACGAAGCTGTCCCTCCACATGAAGGCCCGGTGGCAGGTGTGGCAGGTGTCACAGGTGTGACAGTATCTGTGCCCAGGTGTCACTCAGGTGTGACAGGTGTGTCACTCAGGTGTCACTCAGGTGTGCCGGGTGTCCCCGCACAGGTGCCGCGGTGTCTCACGAAGCTGTCCCTCCACATGCAGGACCTGTGCCAGGTGTGCCAGGTGTGACAGTACCTGTACCCAGGTGTGTCACTCAGGTGTGCCAGCTGTGCCAGGTGTGACAGTACCTGTACCCAGGTGTGTCACTCAGGTGTGCCGGGTGTCCCCGCACAGGTGCCGCGGTGTCTCACGAAGCTGTCCCTCCACATGCAGGACCTGTGCCAGGTGTGCCAGGTGTGACAGTATCTGTACCCAGGTGTCACTCAGGTGTGCCAGGTGTGTCACTCAGGTGTCACTCAGGTGTCACTCAGGTGTGCCGGGTGTCCCCGCACAGGTGCCGCGGTGCCGCACGAAGCTGTCCCTCCACATGAAGGCCCGGTGGCAGGTGTGGCAGGTGTCACAGGTGTGACAATATCTGTGCCCAGGTGTCACTCAGGTGTGACAGGTGTGTCACTCAGGTGTCACTCAGGTGTGCCGGGTGTCCCCGCACAGGTGCCGCGGTGCCGCACGAAGCTGTCCCTCCACATGAAGGCCCGGTGGCAGGTGTGGCAGGTGTCACAGGTGTGACAGTATCTGTGCCCAGGTGTCACTCAGGTGTGACAGGTGTGTCACTCAGGTGTCACTCAGGTGTGCCGGGTGTCCCCGCACAGGTGCCGCGGTGTCTCACGAAGCTGTCCCTCCACATGCAGGACCTGTGCCAGGTGTGCCAGGTGTGACAGTACCTGTACCCAGGTGTGTCACTCAGGTGTGCCAGCTGTGCCAGGTGTGACAGTACCTGTACCCAGGTGTGTCACTCAGGTGTGCCGGGTGTCCCCGCACAGGTGCCGCGGTGTCTCACGAAGCTGTCCCTCCACATGCAGGACCTGTGCCAGGTGTGCCAGGTGTGACAGTACCTGTGCCCAGGTGTCACTCAGGTGTGCCAGGTGTCACAGGTGTGTCACTCAGGTGTCACTCAGGTGTGCCGGGTGTCCCCGCACAGGTGCCGCGGTGCCGCACGAAGCTGTCCCTCCACATGAAGGCCCGGTGGCAGGTGTGGCAGGTGTAGGGCCGCAGCCCCGTGTGCGTTTTCATGTGCTCCGTCAGGTGATGCTTCATCTTGAAGCGCTTGCGGCACAGCGCGCAGGTGAACGGCCGCAGCCCCAGGTGCATGTTCACGTGCCGCTGCCGCATGGAGCGGTGCGAGAACGCCTTCCCGCAGTGGCACACGAACACCTGCCCGCCCTTGCCCGCCCTGCCCGCGCTCACCTGGCGCGCAGGCGCGCCCTGGGCGGGGCCGGGGGCGGGGCCGGGGCGGGGCGCTCTGATCCGCGCGGTTCTGGGCGGAATTCCCGCGTTTTCCTGCGGAATTCCGCCGGCTCTGCCCAAAATCCCCGCGGTTCCGTCCGGAATTCCCGCGGTTCCCTCACGAATTTTGCCCGTTCTGCCCAAAATTCCCGCGTTTTCCTCCGGAATTCCGCCGGCTCTGCCCAAAATCCCCGCGGTTCCCTCCCGAACTTTCACGGTTCTGCCCGAAATCCCCGCGGTTCCGTCCGGAATCCCCGCGGTTCCCTCACGAATTTTGCCCGTTCTGCCCAAAATTCCCACGTTTTCCTCCGGAGTTCCGCCGGCTCTGCCCAAAATCCCCGCGGTTCCCTCCCGAACTTTCACGGTTCTGCCCGAAATCCCCGCGGTTCCCTCCGGAATCCCCGCGGTTCCCTCACGAATTTTGCCCGTTCTGCCCCAAATTCCCGCGTTTTCCTCCGGAATTCCGCCGGCTCTGCCCAAGATTCCCGCAGTTCCCTCCCGAATTCTGCCCAAAATCCCCGCGGTTCCGTCCAGAATTCTGCCGGTTCTGTGCAAAATCCCCTCGGTTCCCTCACGAATTCTGCCGGGTCTGGTCAAAATTCCCGAATTCTCCTGCGAAATTTTGTGCGGAATTCCTCGGATTCCGGTTAAAATTCCTTCATTTCCGTGCGGAATTCCGTCGGTTCCCGCCAAAATTTCCTCCTTTCCGTCCCGGATTCTGCCGGTTCTGGTCAGAATTCCCGAATTTTCCTGCGGAATTCCCGAAGTTCTGTGCGAAATTCCTCTGGTTCCGGTTAAAATTCCTTCGTTTCCGTGCGGAATTCCGCCCGCTCGGTGCAAAATTCCCGCGGTTCCCTCCGGAATTTCGCCGGTTCCGGTCAAAATTCCCTCATTTTCGTACCAAATTCTGCCGGTTCTGGTCAAAATTCCCTCGGTTCTGTCCTGAATTCCGGTGGCTCTGTGAGAAATTCTGCCGGTTCTGGTCAAAATTCCCGATTTCTCCTGCGAAATTCCCGCGGTTCTGTGTGAGATTTTGTGCGGAATTCCTCTGATTCCCGTTAAAATTCCTTCGTTTTCGTGCAAAATTCCGCCCGTTCCGATCAAAATTCCTTCATTTTCGAGCGGAATTTCACCAGTTCCGGTCAAAATTCCCGCGGTTCCCTCCCGAATTCTGCCGGTTCTGATCAAAATTCCCGAGTTTTCCCGCGGAATTCCCGAAGTTCTTTGTGAAATTTTGTGTGGAATTCCTCTGATTCCCGTTGAAGTTTCTTCGTTTTCGTGCAAAATTCCCCGGTTACGGTCAAAATTCCCTCAGTTCCCTCACGAATTCTGGCGGTTTTGGTCAAAATTCCCAAATTTTCCTGCGAA